TTTTTCTTTAATGGAATACCCTCATTTTGAATCTCAAAGGGTGGGAGAAAGCTGAAAACGAAGTGGCTGAGCTGAAGAAAAAGCTCGAGTCTGCTGCTAATAAGAACTCCGCATTAGAAGATAGGGTAAACCATCTGGATGGAGCTCTCAAGGAGTGTGTAAGGCAGCTAAGGCAAGCAAGAGATGAACAAGAAGAGACAATCCAAGAAGCTGTGACCAAGAGGACACGGGAGTTTGAATCTCTTAAAACCCGTCTTGAGAGTCGGATTGTTGAGCTCGAAAACGAAGCAGAAGCTGCGAAATCTGAGGATCTAAGCCAAACAATTGAATCTTTAGCGAGGGAGAACTTGATTCTGAAACACGAGCTCCTTGGAAGAACCGAGGAACTGGAGATCAGAACAATTGAGAGAGATTTGAGCACTCAAGCAGCAGAATCTGCAAGCAAACAGCATTTAGATAGCATAAAGAAGGTGGCAAAGCTTGAAGCTGAATGCCGAAAGCTTCGGGTATTGTCTAAATCATCAGATGGTCAATCAGATGGTGGAGAAAGAATCGACATGAGTTGCTCCGACTCATGGGCATCAGCATTGATCGCTGAGTTGGATCAATTCAAGAATGAAAAACCCGTCAATCGATCCCTTCAGCCCACTTCTTCTGTTGAAATAGATCTCATGGAAGATTTCCTTGAAATGGAAAGGCTTGCATCTTTGCCTGAGATACAGGATGAAACCCGTAAGGATATACCTGAATCGGTAACAGAAGAAATAGAAGTATTGACTCATCGAACTAAGGAAGTGGAAGAAAAACTAGAGAAATTGCAAGCAGAAAAAGCTGAGCTCGAAAGTGAAGTTACACGCTCTAAAGAAGTGGAGAACACGTTACGATCAAAGCTCGAAGCTGTGGTTTGTGAAAAAATGGAGTTGGAAGATAAGTTGGAGAAGATGGAAGCCGAGAAAGCTGAAATGCAGATATCGTGGGATATAACGAAAGATAAATACGAAGAATCTCAAGTTCTTCTTCGAGAAGCTCAAGCGTTTCTTCAAGAAGCTGAGATGGATTTAGAGAAGATACAAAAGGAGCTGAGTTTGGCTAATGAATCAAAATCAAAAGCTGAATCTCAGCTCATCAGCCTGGAAGCAGAATCACGGAAAACCTATGAAAAGATCGAATCTTTGGAAGAAGACGTGAGAAAAGAGAAGGCGTTATCGGAA